GGCTCAGTCAGTTCACACCAATGGAATTTCTTAGGGAGGTGCCAGTCTCCTCCGCTTATCTTTTCCTCGCTCCTCTGGAGATGAGAGCACATTCTTTACTCCCCTTCCACCATTCCAGTCCATCACAGCTTGGTCTTTTTTTCATGGCTGGCTTATTGATTCTGGGACCTGTTGGGCACCATTAAAATGATGCAATTAAATATAGTGGTAATGTAGGAAATATGATGGGAGAGGTATATGTATTCTTTTCCTCAAATATCAAATTCTTGAAACTAAGAAAAGAAAATCACCAAGCGTCATAAACTGTAATTGCTGCAATGCATGTGGCATTTCTCAGGGAGAGATGCAAAGAATGGATTTTGGAACTGCTAAACATTTTGTCAGGTTCAACACATATCCATTTCACCCCTATACATGGAAAGGGAAAGGGACTACCTGCCAGGGCTGGAGCTTTTGAACTTCCAACCTATCTTTTCTCTCCATTATTGTCCTCTGGGATCGGGATGAATGGGCCGCATTTAAGGCATAAGCCACAGTCCGGATGGCGTTGTAAGTTAAGGAGTTGTCTAGAGAGAAGATCCTCTCAATCTCCTGTTGAGGTAGAGTCTCTGAGTTCTCTTTCTCTGAACACCTTGTCCAGCCTTTCACAGACAAGGGAGGCTTTGCATATGAACAGTGAAAATGTTTAAGAGTGAGTTGCTCCATAAGAAAGTAGAAATATTTAAAACCATCATATTTGGTCCTTTTCTTTGTCTGGATAAGAAAAGAAAAAATACTTTGGGTATATCTGAAAGGGAAATCACTGTATGATAACTCCATAGTGAGGTCCCACAAAGCTGTTGTGATCCAGACTTTCCCTAGAATAGGTTTTCTTAACAAGTTAAATACATAATCTGTCACAAGTACTCCCTCTAAGAAAGATGTAAACTCTGCATAGTAAACAAATACATTGATTTGTCCCCACTTGTGGAAAACAGAAACCAGATATTTGACATTCTTAATATTCAGTAATGTGGTTTGTGCAAAAACAACACAAATGCCATTCTGTGTCAGCACAGGAGTGAAGGTCCTAATGAAATGTTCTCCATTATCAGTGGCTGCAGCAAAGATCCCAGTGAATGTCCACCGAAAGTGTTGGAGCAATTTAACAATCCCCAAGTACTGGGCACCTTCTTTGGGGATGGTCCGGTAGACAAAAGGCAACTGAGTTTTATCACTCACGGATGGTGAAGTAAAAGTGTAGCTGATCTGAAAAGAAAGAAAAAGAGGAGAACAGTGCCAAACTATAAGGTACTGAAATAGTAGCATTCCAGCTCAGAGAATGGCTGGATGATTCCAACTTAACTTGCTGGACTTAATGGGACAGCAGAAATGCAGAGAATGTAAACAAGCATCTCATCCATGGAGATTATGAGGGCTAAAAATCAGAGGAAATCCAAGCCGCCTCTTATGAGAGGTGAGAGTGCATGTCAGCATGGATCATTTGAGATTTGGCCAAGAATAAATTCTACATTATTGCACTATAGCCACTCACTCAGAGGCTGTCAGTTATTAGGGGCACTGATTTCTGGTGCACAATAAGATCCTGTTCTAGCTCTTTTAGCCCTTAGGGCAGCCTGACAATTAGGGTCAACATCGTGGTTGTTAGTATGAAAGAGAGGACCTTGGTTTTCAAGGAAGTTCTCTTAGTGAAACACTGGTTCTCGGCTCACTCTGCTCAGATATTGCACCTCTTCCCACCAGTCTCCTGAGTGCTCTACTGCTGGGAAAGGTGGATGGAAGGAATGAGAAGAAGTGGACGACCAGCAGGAAAGTGGATGGCCTCAGTTACAGCATCAATGAACTGATCAATCAATGCACTGTTGGAAGACCTGAAAGATCAGGTTAGGAATAGATTGTCATGGAGAAAATCTATTGATATGGTCACTAGAAGTCTAGAACAACTTGATGGCTCATCATCAGTCAATCAATCAATTGGTCGATATCTTGAGTTCAGGAATGTTAATCCACAAATACCAGCATTTGTGAGACATTTCTGAGAAAAAGTCTTATCTGGGGAAAACTCTGAGCCACCCGTCCACTCCCATACCTGTGGTATTTTGTAGATGCCCAATGTGGCTGCGATGTGGATGGATATGTCAGAGTCAA